CAAGAAAACGAGATGCATTCGCGCACGTAGAAGTTTCGCTCTGCATCGCAAAGCCCCTTAGTCCCTCGATGTTGCCCTTCTGGCCAACTAGTGCGATGCCATCCCACTCTATATCCTGCTCATGTCCCAGATGCTGCTGTCGACGCTTCAACAGTTGGCGCAGCCTCTGCAAAGAGATTGCATAGCCATCTTGATCAAGGCCCAGAAGTATAATCAACGAAGCAAACTGGTAGTCGAATGCTGTGCCTCTTGTGCTGACCCCGGAATTTTGACAACAAAAGGCGCTGCATCTGGACTCGTGGCAACGGCAGCAGCACGCGCTTACGCACGACCTGTGCCGCAGCACCAAGCTGCAGCCACGGTCACGACAAAGCTTTTGTATTTCTTGATACTGAGAAGCACGTAGCGCAAGAGGGTGAGTTACGAGGCATACAGTTACTTGCTGACGTCGCAGCACAGGCCTGTCCAAGTGATTTTGTTGACAATGTTGTTCCGCATGCTCTTGCCTCCTCGCTTGAAGACGTTTCAGCGTTCTACCATCTTGTTCTTGCAGTCGCACCGACGAAAATGAGCCGAGCCTACGGAAATCTGCTACTCTAACGACACAAGAGTATGGGCTGTTGGTGCAGGCACTGCTGGTCTTTTGCAGATGGAGCTGCAGCTCTTGTGGCAAAGCAGCCCAGTATTCTGGAGCGTCCACAGCAGTGCCAAATGCAGCGCTGTCTTCCATGAGGTCTAACAGCCGCATGTCTACGTAAGTGACCAAGAATCGACCAAGTGGGCCCATAAAGCAGTTTGCACCCCGATCCCTTCCTCGCCCATGTATAAGGAACTGCAGAAAGCGCTTTGACTCTTCCGTGCTGCTTAGGCCTCCTGTGTCCTGCTGCAGCTGTACCTGCTGACACTTTTGACTCTGCAGTTTGTGCCAATCCAAGAAGATCTGCTCTGGATCTGGTTGGCAAGCTAATTCCAACAACAAAGCAGCAGCAAGGGAACACAAGAAAGCCGCTGCTCTTCTGAAATTGGCACTCTCCTTTCTCACCATACGGCCACAAGAGGACATCATCTGCTGCTGCTGCTCTTGGATCATCAGCAAATACTCCTGTGTACGCTCCTGCTGGTGCTGCTGTGAGCTCAATATTTCTTTAAGGAGACAAAATGAAAAATTGCGTGGCAAGCATGAGTGTAGTATATGGTCGAAACGGCTCAGTTCTTCTTCAAGAAAGCTGCACCAGTACAGTCCAACGGCAGCGGCTATGCGGACACGAAGAGCAGCTTCTGCAGCTGCCCCTGTTCTTGAGGAGGAAGATACGGGGTACGCAGTAGCAACTTCTCCCGTGCTTTCAAAAGTGGCTGAAGTAGACAGGGCTGCCTGTGCTGCGGCAAAAGCCTGGGAAACAATATTGGGAGCGTTCTCCGCTTCTTGTCCCTCGACCAGCGCTCCTTTCGCCAGAGCAGCAGTTGCTGCTGCAGCTGACCAGAAGCATCTACTCCTAACCAGACGTTTGAGTTTCTCTCTTGTCTTCCTACGCATCAAATAGGGAGCAGACTTGACTTTCGCAAGCGCCACTACAGTTGACGCTTCCTTGGAGTCGGCACCGCTGACGCCCGCTGTGCGGCTGCAAAAATATAAAACAAGGCCCTCAGTATCACAGTCGCTTGCTCTCTGCAGTTCCAGTTGGCACAGTGGCAGCAGTAGCTCTAGTGGTGATGACGCCTGCAGTCGCGCTGCTAGTGATGCCGTCTCGAGTCCCAATGATTGGAGCAGTGGTAACGATACACTGGGGCACAGACAGGGAGGTTCACCGAAGCCTCCGTTGGTACCTTCAAGATTGTGTGGTACCAAAGCAAAGAATATTAGTCTCCCCTCCGCTGTTATTGTGCACTGTTGTCGTTGCTGCTCCCGTCGCTGCTTGGACGCAGGCACGATATGTTGCTTCTCTGCATCGCCTATCAGCTCGCCAACAAGTGTGTGCTTCTGTAGCAGTTGTTGCAATGTCCTAACCTGACGATGCCAAGCACAGGCCGCAGACTGTGCATAAATGGCCCTTGACCATTTTGGTCACCCCCATCCAAAGACCCCAAACCCAACGTTATATAGAACAAAGATCCAATAAGGGGGTACACGCAAACCCTGTATATTTGAAGTGCCACAAACGTCACTGAAAAGAGCTTGGATTTATATTCTACCTGTTCTTGAGTAAGCCGCTGCAACTGTTTTTGCCACGCATCAGACACCCGTAAGGCGTAAGTTTCTCTGCGGCGAAGCCGCGGCGTATCAACCGAGAAGGGCTGCGAAAAAATGCGGTCGGCCCCCAGTAGCCGTAGCAAGGCAACCACATCTTGCTGCTTCTCTTGTTGCTCTTCACAAGAGCGCTGCTGCTCTTCTTGTCGCTGCTGAACATCATTGTGACCTTCCTCGCGTTGCTGGTGCTGTTTACTACATTGTTGCTGCAGTCTAGCAGATGCAGTCTCGGTCGTTGCTGCTATTGCCTCGCCTGCACTGGGCAGTGTGTACCTACACCCGTTGGCAGCTGCAGCAGCAGCAGGTAAAAATACACAGACATTCTTGCTGCAGCAAGCCCAAGCATTCAGCTCACTGCAGAAGGAAATTTGGGCCGCCTCTCCATTTAGCTTTTCGAGTGCCCAAACTTCTAGTGAGACCGCATTCGTAGTGTTTTCGTCGCTGCTACATGCAATGCCGTCTTTCCTGGAAATGCTGAGGGAACGTAGGAGACAAGCTGACAGTTGGTGAGCACATAACAGAGCTTTCGCAGACCCTCTTCTTGCGATGTCTAAAGCACTATTAACGGCACTTTCACCTAAGCTCTGAGCATCGCCGCTGCGCGCCTGCCCCCGCTGTCGCTGTTTCTGGTGACACTCTGGTGTCCTTCGTTGTCTCAACGGCTTTCCCCCTTGTGGCTGTTGCGGCAAGTTTTGCTCTTGACCTGGCAAGTTTTGCTGCTGCTGCCGATCTTTTTGCAGCTCTTGCACATGCGGTGGCTGCTCAAAGTGTGTTCGTTGCTCCTTCTGCCTCTGCTTGCTTTCGTGTTGCTGCTTTTGTCTTCTGGTCTCCTGCAGAATGAAACAAGCCAGAAGCTCTAGATCGAGATCGAAGAACTTCGGGAGGCCGCGGCGCACCAGGACGTACTTTGATTGTTGTTGATAATTATGTTTCATGTGTTGTTGTCGGGATCCTTGATCCGGAGGATTCGTTTCCTGCTGCGCATGCTCAGGCTTCTCTATGAATTCCAACACTGAAAGGCCCCGTCTTAGCAATGGCACGAGTTCTGGGAAGCAGCAGAATACATGGTCTTCTGATTCCTTATCTTGAAGTGAAATGTCCAGCAGCATCAGGTCCGTCCTCCTGTTGCTCATGTCGCTGCTGCTGCTCCCGCTCACCTCATTCACACCCTGTGCTTGGACTTGGACTTTTGAAACATTCTCTGCTTCCGTATTTTCCGTTGTGATTTGCGATGTTGCGGTATGGGTAGTTTCTGCTACGAGAGTAACTTTCTCAATCGGGTGTCTGAGTGACACCAAAGCGGCAGGCCGCATTCTTCTCTCTACCAGCTTTTCTTGGACCAGAGGGAGAGACTCCGCAGCAGCAGAGAATGCGGCGGCCACTGCATCTTGCTGCTTTTGTTGCTGCATCAACTCCTCCAACCTCTTGATGAGCATATCCGCTTGTGCGTAAGCTGCGTTCCGAGACAAGGCGCTCTCATGGAGGCCTTCTGTGTCACCTAAGCCGCGGCAGGAAGACTCTGCACTGCATTTACCGACTGGTTCCTCAGGCAGACCTGCCCGATCTCTGTGTGCCTGCTGGACAGGCCTCCAGGGACTCGTGGAATCCACGTCCCCGGAGAGATGTCCCCCGTCCATTGGGCCTACCAACACGAAAATTCTAGCTCCAAGGTGAGTAAAAGAGCAGAAAAGACCGTCTTAGGAAGCTGCATGAAGCCCACTCCGAACTGGGTAGACATCTGAAGAACTTGGGGACTATCGACAGTGCTCATGTACAGACAATCGAATTCTGCAGACCTTGGCGGCGCTTCCGCGAGAATCCTTTTATAGAATCGGCAGCGCCAAAACATGTACTTATTTAATTAATGGAACTGAAAGGCGGAGAATCGTCAGGTCTTTTTCAAATCATCCACGCCACTCTGCTCCAGTGAATGGGGCTGGAGGGCATCACAGTACCGCCCAGATCTACAGCAGCATGCCATAATTGCCATTTTTGTCTCTCAGTATCTGGAAACGTAGGTGTGCTCGCAACTGCGAAGTTAGGACGAACGTTAAGCAACGAGTTGCAGAGTTCTGTAGTACACCGCGATAACAGAGCAGCAGCAGTAGCATCTACAGTCATTCAACTCCAACTTAACTATAAGCATTCGATTAGATTACCCTAAGCATGGTGTGCATTGGGGAGTGCAGAGCGTGTCCTCGACAGCGATTTTGCCCATACCTCCCACACTTGTGTATCTCTAACTACACACCGTAGGCCGCATGTGCTGCGGCGTATCTTCTTGTCAGCTTAATTCACTGTTGCCGCGTTCCTCCACAGTATCATTCTTAAGCAATTGATTCATTGTGACAACGCATGAACTGAATGTGGCATGTGTCCACGTGCTTCAGCGAAAACAGAAGAAACCGCCGAAACTTTTCAACTGAAACATTTCCAAACCACAAATATTGGCGAAGAAAAAAACCAGCACCGCAGCTGTGGTTACTGCACAAACAGCTACAATCAGAACTGGACAAGGCCCGACAAATTCGGGTGTGTCCGAGCTATCTGGCGGCACTGTTCTAAGGGAACTATGGCTGAGTTTCAAAACGGCCACAGCCCACTAGGGTACACGAAGAGACACCCGAATTTTCCTTTCCTTTCTTCCATTGCAAGGGTCTTCTTTTCGCCAAGAAATGCTGATGACACCGGCCTCCGTTAAATGAAAGCCTTCTTGGAGAGCTGGCTGTTTTGGACATTCCCAAAAGCGCCAGTTTCAGGCATTTGCTACACTGTGCTTATTCTGGGCGACGCCCTTAGTGTTGGTCGCTCTACTTGCTCGGCGTGATCCGTTACGTGCCTCCTCGGCTGACTTGCCCAAAGTCCCATGTGCAAGTGGGCGTACAGCTACTGCTCTTGCTGATTGCGGTGTCTTCCCTGGCGCTTCCGGATTCTCTACAACAGCTGTTTTCAAAGTCGTCCTGGGGATTTCTGTCGGCTTGCGCTGTGAGCGCCTTGTGCCGGCTTGCCCCAATGTAACAGTAGGGCGCCGCCCGTCCGGCGAGTTGGGTCCAATACTACTTCTGGTGAGCTCTTTCTCAAGCGCCCCATACATCGGTCCATCATCATTTTTGAACTTGCTCAATTTGTTTGCTCTAGGCAGTTCGTCTCCAAGTTTGTTTTGCGATAACCTTGGCGTCTTCGGCGCAGTTTCCTTCGTTCGCAAACTCTTGCCGGCCTCCGCAGAAGGCTCTCTTGTTAGGTGTGAAGGCATTTTCCGATTGTCGGCGGGAATTGAGGTTGCGCGTTTCCTAGGGGTCAGTGATTTGCGCGATGCAGCACTCACCCCTATATGGGTCTTCCGGCGAGGGACCGGACCAACTGGGTTTTCTGAAGAAAATGACTGCGTGTAAGAATTTTTAAAATCTTTTTCCGCCTGAGACTGCCTTGGAACAAGGGTGGCGATAGCCGATTTTGGCCACGGTGAGGGTACCGAAGGGACAATTTGCGCAAATTGTTCGTCCTTCATGAGCGGAGGATCCACCGCAAGAACTCCCACATCCTTAACGTTCTTTCGCATAGCAGGCTTTTGCTGTGCATATGCCTGATCAACAGTCTTCTTCAAGGCCTGCAGATGCTTCAGATATTCGCTCCAAACTCCCCAGAGGCCCGTCAGGGCCTCCCCCGGGCTGGGCGCCTCACTTAAAATCGCACGAAGAGACTCTTTAAGCCGCGCCGGTAGCCACAAGGGGTCTCCATTTATGGCCGTTAGAGGCAGCAAACAAGGATTAGCATACGGGGACTGAGGAAGTAGCGCAGTCAAAGGGATGGTGGACGGGAAGAATAAGGCATCTTTTGCTGCGCGGCAGTCTAAGTTGGGTGGCAAGGACTGAAGGGTTCCCACGGTGAGCCGCGATGGGAGACGAGCAGAGCCCATTACAGCGGGCGATCCAAAGGACCTTTTTGTAGGGAAGTGTCCCGTAATTTTTTCATCAGTGATGGGAGAACAAGCTGACGAGCTAACCGCCGCAGAAACTGCGAATGTACGCACCAACGTAAGACCAGCAAAGACAGGATCATGAAGCATGCAGCTTTGGCACCACCTCCAGCAACATCACTGGCTAAAGCACATGTGATTGTAACAGCAGCAGTGACGCCACAGCGATCAAATCTCACTCTGATTTACATCGGTCTGCGCGGCTTCATCATCTTCTGGATGCCCAAAGGGAAAAAAATCGACTTTGATCGAAGTCCCATCATTTTCGTCTTCTGTACTTCTGTGTAATTTCTCTATTGTTTGTGGCGGCTCATGAAAAGTGTCCATCCCGAAGCCGTCTGCTAAAGCAACGAGGCCATCCCGTGGCAAGAGAGGCGGATCGCGGCAAGACGGCCCTATGCAGCAGCTGACAGCCTCAAAAAATTCTCGTACACAAGGCAGGTCGATGCTTTTGGTTCTTCTGGTCTGCAGATGACCCTCTCTGGGACTTCCTTCACTTGAGAGGGCCTTATCTGTCCCAGGGACCCACGAAGACACTGCCAAGGTTCTGCTCTCTCGCTCGTCAGTGGCATCAGCTGTGTCGTTGTTCTCTAGAAGGAAAAGAAGTTTACCATTCGTGACGCTCGCCAAGAGGGCTTCCTTTAAGTATCCGTTTTCTAGCAGCAGTTCTTGGTTCCGTTGCTGTAACGTAGCAAGGAACATCTCAGCCTTAGTCTTGTCAGTGCCGCGTGACGCGCAGTCGTAAGGAGAAAGGGGCCCATGAGAAGCCATAGAACGTCCCGAACCCGTTTGTCGCTCCAGACAAGTTCTTGACTTCGCGGTGGGAGCAATCTCGTCGGCTTCGTTCTGGCCCAACGTCCTTTCTGTGGGGAAGCTCCCGTCATCAGTAAGGCTCATTTTGTCTTGAAAAAAATTTAAGGTTTCCGTTTTAGCAATTCCTGCTCCCGCAGGCCTCTTTGACGCTTTTCCTACTCGCATAGGCCTGCTGCTAAAACGTCGGGATGGAGGGCCTGTGTTTTCTCCTGAAAAATCCCGCTTTCCTCCCACCAAGATCTTAGGAAAACGACCAGCCTGCTGAAAGGTAAGGCTCTCCTGAGTGTGTTCTTTCGGCCACTTCTGAAGGAACCGTAGAAACAACTGGTGAATTAGAAAGTGGTTCTAGCCAGGCGCATAAATTTAAGTATAGCGGGTGAACCCCCAAAGCAGGCTGATCATCGGAGCGCCTCACCATGGTTGAAAACCAAAGACTACAAATACTAGGTCGCACTAAAAATGGCTTAGGTTGCGCTTACCACGTGCTGGCTTCTCGGCATCTTTGAATTTTTGCTATCCCGGGAAACGTCACGCATATCAGACCTTTTATGGATCTTTATGGAAGAGGACTTTGTGAGTAGTCCACCAGATGCTGAGGGAAGTGTATTTGAATCAAGGACCACTGTATTTCTTTTCGTCATATCGATTGAGGCCAGCTCCCTCCGTAGGGAGGCAGAAGGTGCGCCTCCCCTCATCACCATGAGGATTTGGATGTCACAATGTTATTCTTAATACGAAAAGGTACAAAAGTTGCTTTCCAGGTTGGACGATTTTATGTTTTGGTGCTGCTGCTTGTTCGAGTTGTTTTAAAGTCAGAGTGGACGATGTAAAGAGGGTTATTGGCAAAGAAGACTCTAACGTGTATAGAAAAACGGAAAAGCTTACACACAACCAATGGCTAGCGGGAAATTATAAAATAAGGAAAATTACCGATGCGGAGGCCTGTTATGCCGTCTACGACAACAGGCTGACCACTGGCCCACGAGGGCACGATGACGTCGGGCGCAAACACTGGTTGTACTTGGCCCTTACAAGAGGAAATAAATATGGAAACTGTGCAAAATTGCATTTCTGAAGAGTATATACTAGATACTGAAGTGAATATCTCCGAAGTTTTTGATGCAGCTCAGCAGATGCGGGACGTAGCCGCTGCCACCGACCTGCGGCTTGCGGACTGCTGCCCTGCCCTCCAGTAGGGCTCACTCTTCACAGCTTCACTGAATAAACTCTCTATATTTAACCAAAGTCACATTGTTAACCATTACTGTGTGTTGTCACCAGCAATGCTTCGACAACGTCGTTCTACTGCAGTGGGAGCGTCGAAGCCAACTCCGATCAAACCACGGACGACGGACAGCCACTGCAAAAGCCCCAACAGCGACAGAAATGTAGTTGAGATAGAATATATGACGAAAGCCAACAAATAGAGAAGCAGAGAGCTACAGTCTTCCCAGACGCTCAGTTAGTTCTTTAGCGCTTGACTACAGGCACGTCTCGCACGCCACGGAAGCTTTCTGGATTCTGCATTTAGTTGCCATGCAAAAAAGTCGATTCGAGTAAAAGGAGACACGAATACATGCCCCAAAAGACTGAGAGAACAGTGTTTTCGAGCTGTATCGCAATTTCGGGCGCAACATTAACGATGGCAGCAGCAACGTCTTAATGCTGTTAAGTATACAGCAGGGGTGATAAGATCTGCGGTCCCGTCAACTCAAGCTCACGGAGCCCCCGCACCTTCCAGAGGCCTTCAATCCCGTCTGCCTGCCATGCTTGTTTCTTTGCTCTCATCTTTACACGCATAGTACCAGTCTTATTAGTGGCTCCCGCCTTTAGGCATCAATCGCCCGCTGCTCGTGGCTTGGGTGCATGTGCAGCTCAGGGCCACCCGCGCCATAGGGCGTGCGTAAAACAAACACAACAAGGGACCAACTTATCCAATTACCGCAGCCTCCGATGTTATTCCGTCAACATCAGGGGCAGCGGCACTCACTGGCGGCTGCTGCAGAAGTAAATTCGAGCTCCTTTGTAGGCAGCTGCAGTTTGGGAGAAACTGAGCAGAATTAGGGCTGCCTTGCTATGGATCGCAGCAACATCTCCTGCCGTGCCGAGAAACGCAGAGAAAATCGACAAAGAGTGCCGGTTTACAAAAAATAACCGTGCATACTCGAAGCGAGAGATTTAGTGAATTTACAGCCTCTCAGCAAAAAACGGGCCAGTGCTTCACCGCCACAAACGTTTAGCGCACTAAAAGTAGTTCCGGCACAGTAAAAAGAAGAAGATTTGGCGATCTATACTCAAATTCGGAGCTGCATCTGCAACTATCTTCTGCTGCAAAGCGCTCACAAACAGATGAGGTAACACTGGTTGTTGCCGCTATCAAGAGCATCATGTGGGTTCACCACAAGGAGGCGAAAAACTCTGGAGCGGATGAATTTGAGAAGGCTTCATATCAGTATTCGAGCTGCGGATGAGCTAGTCTGCATGACTTCCTGCTTGCTTCTGCTACATTGCCTAGCACTTTCGCCTGGCAGGGATAACTTGTATGGAAGTTCTCCACATTTCAAGTCCATAGGGATGCCTGTAAAATGAAGCTTGATAGTACATCTGGGAGGCAGTGGCTCCTCAGACTTTGTTTCGTTGATTTTGCTAAACTGCCTGTGCGCGTTTCAGTTCCAAAGAAGCAGCCTTTGGCCACTGTAAAATCAAGACAGAGTGATGCTTCCCCTCCCCTGAACAGTGGGAAAATGGGAAGGAGTGGTAGAGGAAATAAAGTAAATTTGGCAGACTGCTTTTTTCATTGTGTCTGTTTGTCTTTTACGCTGCACGTACACCGCTGAAGTTCCCAGCCCCGCAGGTGACTTCACTCCCTGCACGCCTAAAGATACGAAAATTGATGTTTTAATTCTTTGAGTCTAGCAATAACAAAAAAATGAAGCAAAGGACACGGAAATTGACGACTTGTTGCTGTGAAAGATGACAGAAAACCTGCACGGAATCTTCAGCCGCCTGCGGGTGGTGACAGGGGTGGCTCATTCTCTAAGGCGAAATATATGAGGGCACCTCTTGTTATGTCTCGAATGAAGACGGTACAAAATCCACCTAAAATGTACATTCATGTATTTTCAGATTCAAAAGCAAACAAACAAGAAACTCGAACACGGACACAAGATGCACGCCGACGCCTGCAGCACAACCACCGGGGGGACACAAGCCCTTCAACAGGTTCATTTCCTCCACCTTTCGAGGCTTCTCCCTTTCTATTTAAGTAGCATCTTTAGCCAAGTGGCTTTGGTACATAAAAGACCTGACTGAAAGACAGTCTACCCAACGGAACCAGCAGCTGCTCTTGCTGCTGTTGCAACTGCTGCAGCGCTCAGGCCATGGCAGAAGCAGCAGAAACGCTGCGGCTTTTCCCGTCACCGATTCTCGATGATACTGGGCTTGTAGCAGTTCACTCTAGTTGTTGCAGTGGGCGCATGAGAGAGGACAATGCGCCAGCAATTTTGCTCTGGTGTAATGCAGCAACAGCGCCGCAGCAGCAGCCGGCAGCAGCAGCATCAGCGCCTCGTTGTTGCAGCGCAGGAACAGCAACCGTAGTGACGGCTTTTTCGGCTGAAACGCAGCAGAGCTTACATATACTTAGACAGACTAGCCTGAAGAGCATCTCTTTCGCATCTTCTTTTTCTTCACTCCTTTCCCTCACTGCTTCCTCCTGCTGCCTCGTAGCAGCAGCTGCTGCTGCCGTTGCGCCTGTAGCAACAGCGTCATCCCACCACAGGAGCTGATTCAGAGGAATACTTGTAGCTTAAAACGGTACAGTGCATCTTGAAGGAGACTATTTCTGTCGTTTAGGTCCCCCGGGGCCCCCGGGCTCGCCGTCCTATGGCCTTGCAGCAGCAACAGCAACTGCTGCTGCTGCTGCTGCTTCTTTTCTCCGCTGAAATATAGCGCTGTTTACGTTTCAATCTTAAATATTGGCTTCTTGGGGGACCTTGAGGCAGGCTTGCCGTCGATTCCGGCCACTGCTGCTCTTGCTGGG